AAACGAAAACTGCGATATTTTAGTAACTACTGAAGATAATTCACTCAAAATTGATATTTGCAATGAGTTTTAGACGAAAAATAAGAATATTACAAAATTTTGGCAAATGGGCGTAGCCACGCCCACTTATGGTTACATGTGTATATCTTGGTAACCGCTACACCAATTTCTTCCAAACTTGGCACAGTTGTTGGTCCTGGTACAGCATACCAACTGGCCGAAAATTTCTAAAATCGGACAATAACCACGCCCACATCCCATATAACGGTAATTTCGAGAAATACAAAATCTTCGATAAATCAGTAAATATTGAAGCTAATTTATTCAAAATTGATGATTGCAACAATTCTTTACCACGAAATACGTTTATGACAAAATTTTGGAAAATGGGTGTAGCACCGCCCACTTGTGATCACATATATGTATCTCGCTAACTGTTCAAGCAATTTGTACCAAGCTCGGTATAGTTATTGTGCTTGCCACATAAAAGCAAACCGTTGAAAATTGTTGAAATCGGACTAAAATTGAGGCCGCTTTTCATATAACGGTAAATTTCAGATATGCTTGAAATTTCAATATTTCGAAATTTAAGGACGCTAATTTACTTAAAATGTATACACCCCGGCTTATCATGTAGCGGTAGCTTTCGGAAAGGTGGAAAACATATATTTAATACTTGCGCCGGGTATTTAATGTTCGGCTCCGCCCGAACTTAGACTTTCTTACTTGGTTTTAAATTATTTGGTCTCGAAAATGTCAAATATTTTTAATTTCTTCTCACAAAACTCTAAATTCTTATATTAAAATCTATTTGCATGTGAAACCTTTTTCCATACAAAACAAGCAATTGAATAGCAGCTGTTGGAACGCAGCACAACCGCTGATTACAGAAAATTGCAACAATTTTCATTTTTTCCAATTTCAATTCTTTATTTTTTTTTGTATTTGACATGGCACCCTTTGATTTAGAAGAAAAAAATCCGAACAGTTTTTGACACTTTCGACACCAGAGCAACAACAAAATACAAGCAAATGTTGTTTTGCTCTAATGCTACTACCTGTTTGATATGCCTTGGTACCTATCAATTTTAGACAGCGCACAGAGTCGTACTGGGCCCTAAAACATGGCCAAAAATGTTTTTTTTTTTAATTAGTAATCTGCCCTGTTTTGTTACTTTAAAAAAAATTTTGGCACTACTTTCAAAAAAAAAATTAAACTCGCTAGCGCTACTCAAAACGCCGTGCGCTTATTCGAAAGTTACTGTTCGTCTACGAGTGTCGCGTGATTTTTCGAAACGCTCAGATATCATTATTTTTAAAGTCCTGTGGTTTCAAGCAGGGTTACCACTTTAGTAAATTACCAAAAGTCATAGAAAAAATTAGGGTTAGTGAAAAGGCAAATTTTTTTCATTTTGGAGGATTTGTTTTTTTTTTTTTTGAAAACAAATATGTAAAACGTTTCGTTTTCGGCCAGTTTATAAAAATCGCAATTGTTACATTAAAAAAAATAAAAAAACCGGCTGCAAAAATATTAAAAACAAAATCAACGGAAATTTTTAGCTGCACATTGTTGGTTATATTAAAATTCTAAAATTTCATAGTTAAAAGTTCGAATTTTAAACGAAAAATTTTGGAATTTTTCTGAATGTTGAAATGATGATACAGGCATAACAGATGTGAAGCAAAAGCTCTCCTCAATCAAATATCTACATTTACATTGTATGTAAGCAGAAATGGTTAGCTGCTCGGAAAACGAAAGCTATTCTTCCCATAGGCCAACTATCTGAGGAAGCTGCAGAACTGCGTAATAAGCATTTTAGATTAGACTACATCAGAAAGTTTTCGCGCATAACCTGCAACACAGGTGTGATGAATGGGCTTCTTTTGATTTCTGATCCCCTAATAATGGGCATGCGAAGCAACACAAAGAAAACAAAACAGCCCTTGTCATCTGAAGTTTAAAAATTATTGTGAGAAAGTGATATAAAGAATGTTAATCGAAGCTGGCAGTACTGATGAATAAATGCATTTATAACTTCATTAGACAAAATATTGCCAATGAATTTAATTTATTATTATTTTATATAATTATTTTTCATTATTATATAGGTACTATTTATTATTTAACTTACTCGTACTATGCAAACTTACTTCTTTGGAAAACAGTGACACGCGTATGTATGCATTATCTGGCTAGTTTGATTAAAATGCTTTTAGGCTATTAATAAAATGTTTAAGAGGTATACATTAATATAACTAAAGGCATCAACTAATTAATAACAATATTTTTTATATGTATGTATGTATATGGGTGTATTAATTTATAGGCACATATGTACATACATATGTGTATATGTACATTAACTATTCTCCCCATCCGTTACTACCTATATCGATGAAACGCCATCACACACTGATCACATGAACCAGGTGCGGATAATAAATTCTGATTCATATCATTAAAAATCCAACTTGTCAATCGCTTGAAAGATAATAAAGTGCAAATTTTTATTAATGCGAAATATTCACTACTGTGATTCGTTGGCGTGTAAAAATGTTTATTAAAATATTTAGGTATAACGTCTATCTAGAAACTAATTCCATTTAAGAGCGGAGAGCATCTCCATAATCTTTAAATCGAGTACATGTTTGGCCTCTAATCAGTGGATTTAATCCATCCTTATAAATTTTAGTCATAGCTGCCAGAGTTTTACTAGACGATAACGAAAGTATTTTTGCACGTACATATATAAGTATTGAGGCGCATGTACCCAGCAAACAATTAAGTGTGATATACACTTGAGAATGATTTGAAATCAAAGCCTTTCTCATATGTCAACCGTTTGAAAATGATTTTATATTGATTTTAAAATTACAGCTTTCAATAAAGAGAAGAGTTTGATCTCCATTTGAGAATATTGTTAACTCTCAAATCAATTTCAAATGTTATTTATCAATTGTACTTCAAATGTGGAAATAAAATTTAGGTAATTATCCCAAAATTGGTCAAAATTTTGGAAAGACGCGTCTGGGCCCCAATAACAAGAATCCGAAAGCGGAAACTAACTTTTTTTACCCGATCAAAAGTTATTAACAAAAAACTTTTCCACAATATCACTTTTTTTATTCACTTACTACACTCACACAAACGCACAAAATGCCCATATTTCACTATACATACAACAACAATACTTCATTTTAGTCATATATGTCAAAATATCGCAAAATATATCACTAAAAACTTATATATTTTATTAATTAAAATGTATACAATTTTGGTGTGCTCAACGCAAAATTCACCTGCTGATGTGCGCTATTGCCACTCAATCTGAATGGAATAAATATTGAATATGTTTACACGGAGTACAGACTGTTATGTGGGATAATTAATAGTGAAAATAACTAAACAGTTAAAAAATCTCATTATATATCGAAGTATCGATAGGATATCGCGCGATTTTTTATTACAAATTTTCATTATATATCGAAGTATCGATTTTTATTGAAAAAAGCGACGCAGGCGAAAATTTGTAATAAAAAATCGCGCGATTTTATAGAATTCAAAATTCTGAAACAAGGTTGCATTGCATTATAAACCACATTCTTTAAGGCACGCGGAAATAGTTGGTAGATGTAGACGTTGGGTAATTGTATTAATTCGGAGTGCTAGAGAGGGGCAATACCGCACATCAGCAGGTGAATTTTGCGTTGAGCACGCCAAAATTGTTTACATTATAATAAATAAAATATACAGTATCGGTCATATCTATAGCATGCCATTTCAAAGTGATATTGTGTGCCACTTATGTTTATTTATTTATTTTTAAGAATTTTCAATTAAAATTTAGTTCATTCTCAGACAAACCCCATATATACCCAAGTTTAACAATTTGTAGAAAACTTCAAAAAAGTGCAACAAAATTTCAAACTTTTTTCTCGGAAGTGTTAGAGTTTTTTTTAGTACACCGTTTTTTAGCCCCTGCAATTTTAGTCTGATAATGTGCAAATTTCAAGTGGCTACGAATTACCGTTAATTTTTTAGAATTTTTTTTGTCGCATTGGCTTCCATATAATGAATAAACTCAATTTATTTGTATATGGAAGAAAACCGCAACACCTTTGGCGAAAAAAATTCTAAAAAATCAACGGTCACCTTTAGCCACTTGAACCTTGCACATTATCAGACTAAAATTGATTGGGCTATAAAACTGTGTATTCAGAAAAATTCTAACACTTCCGAGAAAAAAGTTTGAAATTTATATGAAAATTTGTTGCACTTTTTTGTAGTATTCTACAAATTGTTAAACTTGGGTTTATATGGGTTTTGTTAGAGAAAAAACTATATTTTAATTGAAAATTCTTAAAAATAAATAAATAAACATAAGTGGCACACAATATCACTTTGAAATGGCGTGCTATAGATATGACCGATACTGTATAAGGTTTTAGCGATATATTTAGCGATATTTTGACATATGTGGCTAAAATGAAGTATTGTTGTTGTATGTATGGTGAAATATGGGCGATTTGTGCGTTTGTGTGTGTATTAGGTGATTAAAAAAAGGTGCTATTGCGAAAAAGTTTTTTCTTAATAACTTTTGATCGGGTAAAAAAAGTTAATTTCCGCTTTCGGATTCTTGTTACAGGGGTGCAGAGGCGTCTAATGGTACCCTATTTTGATCAATTTCAGGGGTTGAAAGCCCACCTACCAATGTTTATTATAGGAAATGTACATTTCATATTTATTTTTTCTTCGCGATGTACATATGTATGTACATAACAAACGAAACAATTAAGATAAAGTAATTTATAATAAATTCGTCTTGAAGGGTTGCAGCTTCTTCAAATTCATTATTTGTAGCCCTTTGTATTTGAAAATGTTTTTCTATTCATTGTTTTTTTTTCAATTGAACTTAATTTTATTCTTACAATTTTTGATTTAACTGCGCATTTTTTATATCGTTTGATACTTGAATCTTTCTTCGAATCAACCTCAAATGAATTTCAAATGTAAAAACCTCGTTTTCAATTTGAGAATCATTTGAGAAAAACATTTGATATCAAATTGAGAAATACATTTTTCTCAAACGTTTGAAACTGTGTTTGCTAGGTAGGTATTCTTATATTCAGACGAATCGAAAATCATGGAATTTTCCTATCAAATTTCGTCTGATATGTAGTACCCATGATATTTTTATCAAGGTGGTACCTATCGATTTATTTGAATATTTTAATTACTGAATATTTTTTCCCCCATTTACTTACGGTTCTCTCAGTACTGGTGCAATTTTGTAAATACAATCCAGGAACTGTTGATCCAAACACCAAACGCTTGGCTTCAGAGGCTGACTGTTAACGTTTAGTATACGAAATAGGATGCACATTATAACCGCAATGGCGGTGAGGAATGCAGTCGACATTTTGGCTATGAATTTGATCAAGTGTATGTGATCGAATGAGAATAGTGTAAAATCGGAGATGATCTGTATTAGTTCGTTTTTTGATTTTAGGATATCATCCAGGAATAGATGGAAACGCAGCAACAATTTCGGAAGCATGCACGAAGGGTACTTACGAAACTTTTTAATAAAAACAATAGATTTGCTATCAAGCAAAGCGCTTAAAGTAAAGTGGTGTGTTATAAAGATTTTAAAATTAATATCAAAGTATATGTAAATGTATTCACATAGTTTTCGCAATTGAATGAAACGTCGTGCTGCGTATCGCCGAAAATAAGTTCTTATTTTGAGTGCTTTTTCAGGTTTTTGTTTTATAGCAATTTTCAAGACGTGAATGAGCAACCGTCAACCCGGCAGATTTTCATTCAAGTTTATTTCTCCCCTTTTACGCCTCCACTTTTATCTTTACAGACTTGTTTTGCTATTTTTTCTTTGTTAACGCCTCCTCACGTTCTTCCACGGAGTCTTGTGCACTATCTATGTATGTAGTTAATACAATTGGTTCTATCTTCGACTTTGTTGCAGAAATTGCCAGCACTTCACTATTGTAGCATTCGTTTCGCTTTCAAAATTTAATTACGCTACTAATTTGCAACAGAACCAATGCACATATTCAAATTTTTTGTTTGATTTTTCTGCACTCAATTTTCTTTCCTGTCTGGATATTTAAGGCGTTTTTTTCACACGAATGAAGAAAAATTCAGCGAATGGAAAATTTGGAAAAATAGCCACTCGTATTTTCTCCTCGGTCTTATTTATGGTTCTTTATTTTCTATCTATGGCGTTATTTGCGCTTTTGTTTTGTTTCCAGAAATTTGAACACGTTATAAATCTACGGCCACGAAAATGCTTTGTAAACTCACAGTGAAATTTCTATCGGAACCACAAATTTTGATTGCTTTTACTACAAATTTGTGCACACATATATATATATTTATTTATATTTCTTTATATTTTTTCCGAGAATCCACTCACAACTGAACCGCTTGACTATTCTCAAATTTGTATCGCAATACTCCAATTTGACTAATAAGACGACTGAGGTTGCATTGTCGATTTTTGTTACGTTAATGCGCCATTCGCTTAGTCCCCTTTCAGATTGAAAGCAATTTTTTCGCATTCTCTTTTGTGTTTTCTATTTGCTTCCACACGCGTCAATTTTAATTGAATTCAAGTCCTTGGTTCTTTAAATGGGGATCAACGAAAAGATCAAAAGAGACAAGAAAACTTGAAACGAATTGACGGTACGGAGGTATCTGTACTCTTCCCCTCTCTTCTCACATCCTTCGCCTACGAACGAGCAGACTTGAAAGCAAGACTTGACGTGTCTGAAAGGGGACTTAATGAATTTAATTAGCAAATGTATGATTTTCTCTTGTTTACTTTGTTTTTAAGTACGAAAAATACCCAAATAAGTACTTACCTTCATACCAACATTCATCATACAAGTTTTTTTATAAAATTAGTTTCATTACATTTGCTTATGTTCCTATGATATTATTTTGCAAAACGTTGCATATTTATAAAATTAATCGTAACAAAATGCATCTCTGTGACGAATGAATTTGTCTAGCAAGAAGAAGAAATGTCAATTTATCGTCAGCTGTCAATTTACCATTCCTTTTTGCTCCTTATTTTTGACAAGCTGCAATTTGCATTTTGTTTATATTGGATAAAACATTATGGATTCAACAAATGAGTCGTCTTTACGCAATTTGTTACAAGCTCCTGCGCATAATAAAGTAAGTTAAAGTAAGAATATATACTTGATAAATAACCATAATAAACTGCCACACCAAAATTAGCAGCCAAATCCACATAGCACGCTACAACCGCAGCAGCCGGCCGTCACACCTTTTGTTGAACCCAAAGATGTACAGCATGAAGTAAAGCTGCAGTGAGTATATTCATATACAAAAACCATAATACCCAAATACCGGTGAATAATATTTCTTTCAATTTAATAGAAACGTGGTAGCCACAGTCTCAGTTGCTTGCGAATTGAATCTTCAGGATATAAATTTTCGCACTCGTAATTCTGAATATACGCCATCACGCTTTCATGGCGTTGTAATGCGCATGCGAGAACCACGCTGTACAGCGCTTATATTCCGCACCGGCAAAATAATTTGCACAGGAGCACGCAACGAAGGTGAAGCCAATTTGGGCGCTAGAAAATTTGCACGAATTCTACAAAAGCTCGGTTATCCCGTGAAGTTTGTAGATTTCAAACTACAAAATATTGTAGCCACTGTAGACTTAAGGTTCCCTATACGCCTGGAAAACTTAAATCAAATGCATGGTCAATTTAGCTCATACGAGCCTGAACTGTTTCCTGGCCTAATATATAGGATGGTTAATCCGCGGATGGTACTTTTAATATTCGTCAATGGTAAAATTGTATTTACCGGTGCCAAAGCGCGGAAGGATATAATGGATTGTCTAGATAAGATATATCCTACCTTACTTAGCTTCCGAAAGAATTAAGGCTGTTGCATGTAGTATTGTAAGGAATTATTTTTTACTGTGTCTCGTGTGCTACGTTAGCTATATGGCAATATTTATGGACATATGTTTACCTATCTTGTTTATTTGCATATTTATTGTAATGTAGTTAAAACCGATTTCGCTGTAAGGAGCGGACACGACTTTACAAAGGTTGAAGTTGTGCGCTTATATAATATGTAGAACATGATACAAATATTTAAATGCTTTTTTTATGAAATAGACTTAATAACTTTCAGTTCCGGAGAATTACTGAGGAAAATAAGAAAATCAATAAAATTGCTTTGAACAAATGTGTTTTTAAATTTTTGAAAATCTCATTTATGCACTTGGAACAAATTCGTTTACATTTCGTTGGCACGGCATCCCTACACTTGACCATTCATTTACACTACAGTGGCTCTGCAACGCAATGTTGTCACGTCAGCTGTCAAAATGGATAAAAGAAACAACACAACCACACACACCGTATAGAAAGAAAACGTATTTGGCAAATTTTATGCAGTTTTTTCAACGAAAAAAATATTGTGTTTTGCATCTTTATAAACAATAAAAACAGCAATTAAATTGTGATGCAGAGTATTAGAAGCTGCGTAAAGAAGTAATATTTGTTTTGTGCATTGTTTAAGCTTGAAAATTAAGACGTGAAAATGTCTTTCGTACGCACCTCGACGGGTGGTAATGAGTCGGTGCATAAATTTGTGGAGGCCCTACGTGCAGACTTTAAGACACTCTCCCTGGAAACGAAAAAGAAATATCCATTAATAAAAGAGGTGAGCTAATAATTTATCAAAAAAAGGTGTAATATGAGATTCCCACTACTACAAATATGCGTTTGTTTTTGTGGCGCAATGGGGTGGGGATGTCGAAAATTTGTGCCACTACTAGGTGCAGCGTGCGTGGGGGTGGCAGCAAGAGATATTCTTCATACAAAAATATCGCACACGATCTTTAAAAGTGACACAACTCAAAATTACACGTTTGTCAGAAAATGCGAAAAACTATTTCTTAGCACATGCTAAAAATATGGGCAATGGAAACTTTACCTTCGTTTTTTTTCAAGAAATTATTACAAAAATTCGCTCCAGCTTTTGCTGCAAAGTAAATAAAACATCTATGTACATTTTTAGCGCATAACTTCAAAAATGCAAAATTTGAGTTGTGTCTCTTTTGAAAATCGTGTGCGATATGTATTAAGTGTTAGTAGCTCATTGTTAGCCAAATGCAACCTGGTAAATATATTAATGAATGGTTATATTTTGCTAAAAATAACTAGGCAATTGTAAATTGAACGTTTATAATTTGTTCATATTTTGTTAATTTTTGTTTTTCAATTTTTACTTACAACGTCATTTTTACCGGAATTTTTCCAGTCATGCGAAGAGGCTATTTCGAAGCTAAGTGCTGCTAGCAATAATCAGCAAACATCCGTTTATTACACTGTGAACCAAATTCTATATCCACTTGTGCAAGGATGTGAAACCAAAGACCTGAAAATCATAAAGGTGAGTCATATTTTCAAGCCCGTACATACATTTGTATGTGTATACACAATTTTACTTAGAAGTTACTTTACCGGCAAAACCATTGCTACCTATCTTATCGTTGCTTTGATCGTGATTATGGTTGTCAATGTTTGTATTTTATATATTGCAGTATTGCCTCGGTATGATGCAGCGCCTTATCACCCAGCAGGTGGTTGACCAAAAAGGCGCACGCTATATAACAGATGCATTGTGGATGCTTATGGAAAACAACATCGAAGAGGTGAAGGTCTTACAAACGGTTACATTGCTGCTGACTACCAACACCGTAGTGCATGGCGAAACTTTGGCCAAATCCTTGGTCTTATGTTTTCGACTACATTATACAAAGAATTCGACGATTGTCAACACCGCGGGTGCTACGATTCGACAACTTGTTTCATTGGTATTTGAACGTGTCTATTTGGAGAAAGATTCAGTTGCGTCTATACAGGATGCGGCGCAGAATGCTAATAGAGAAATTGTGGATGGCGAAAACAGCGCGGCGGCCAATGCTGATATGCAAACCTTTGCAGCAGATGCATTTTTCCTCTTTCAAGTAAGCGTCTTTGAAGTACTATTTTGGATAAAATTAATATCAATAAAAAATTTATTTTTGTACCAGGACCTCGTACAGCTGGTGAATGCTGATCAGCCCTATTGGCTCATTGGCATGACAGAAATGACGCGCACTTTTGGCTTAGAATTACTCGAAGCAGTATTAACTAATTTCAGCGCAGTATTCCATGAGGTAACTCGGTTGGCATTCGAAGCATAAAAATCAAAATAAGTGCAAACTCATATATTTTTCTTACAGAATAACGATTTCCGTTTACTACTTAAGGAACGCGTTTGTGCGTTGGTTATAAAACTGTTCTCTCCAAACGTAAAACATCGTCAAGTGCCGCCGCCTAGCAATGGCAACACTGCGGTACCCAATGACAAACCCTACTTTCCGATCAGTATGCGTTTATTGCGCTTAGTAGCCATTCTTATACAAAAATACCACACAATATTGGTACGCGAGTCGTTTTTGATTTTTTTTTTTATTCTTTTTGCATAACTAATGATTTACTATTTCATTACCACGCACAGGTTACTGAGTGTGAAATTTTCCTATCATTGATCATCAAATTCCTTGATCCTGATAAGCCGCACTGGCAACGCGCTTTGGCTTTGGAGGTCATACATAAACTTGCCACAAAACCTAATTTAATTGCATTCTTTTGCAAGTCCTATGATCTGAAAAATCATGCAACCAATATTGTACACGATATGATCTCAGCATTGGGCACTTATGTGCGTTATTCGTTAATAAATGCGGCAGCTTGTAAGCACAATATATTTTTGAGCAATTTTTTTTTACGTTAATAATGGTTTCTCTTCGTAGTGCAAAACGGGCAGCTTCCAGCAGCCAATCAAAATAATCCTACCGCAGCGCATAATGCCGGCAATCAATGTGGATTTATGTTCCGTGGCGTTTACTTGTCGCTGATTGCCACGTTTCCGCCTGGTGTAGCGAAATCTGTTTAGTAAGTTAACAGTAAACTAATTATTAAAACACACTTCATCATTTACCCATTCGTTTTTTTTTAATTTATAGTTTGGAGATGCTAGACAAGCTGGAGGCACCTAACATACCCGACAGTTATGGTGTCTCTGTAGCTTATGCTATACTCTTGGACATAACACGCTCTATCGGCGGCGTTATACAGCGTACGCCAGAAATGGTTAGTTAAATACTAAGAAAAGCCCAACAGCTTTTAATGAGATGACAAAAATTTCTAATTTGTTGCAGCAACAGCCAACACACAACTCTGCCATCATAACTGAGGAGGAGCACAAGCCGCTATGCTTGCAATTGATCAACTCCAGTTGGGCCGGTTTGCTCTCAGCATTCGTACCGTTAGTAGATGCCTCAATCGATGAGACTACAACGGATAATATTTTAAAAGCTATGCAGAATTATGCAGCACTTTGTGGCATGCTGGAATTGCTGGGCCCACGTGACGCTTTTATAATGGCCATTTGTCGTGCTTCCTTCCCACCACACTATGCAGCGGCAATATTTGCAAACAATGTGCATATGGAAGCAGACTTGCGGGGTATTTAAGAGTTTGTAAAATTTTATATTAAGCGCGTATAAAAATTGATGTTCCCGCAGGTCATGCACGCAGCAACAGTCAAGATTTGAATAACCAATTTATAAATACTTGCAATGAGGGAGACTTCCGCCAGCAAATTGTTGCCGTGGGTACACCATTGCCAAGCGCTTCGCTACCACACAGCATAATGCAAGCACCAGTCATGTTGACTACTAAAAATCTACAATGTATGCGTGCTATTTTGTTTTTGGCGCGCAGTAATGGCAGCATACTGGGCACTTCCTGGCATAATGTGCTACAGACACTGCAACACTTGGTATGGATTTTGGGTTTGAAACCATCGACTGGCGGTAGTTTGCAAGTGAGTATCTTCTAAGTTATGCACTGAGTGACGGCATGCAAATAAATATTTAATTTTGTTAAATGTAGGCTTTTCCAAAACCTGCTGTCGAAGCAAATGTGGGCATACAAACTGCAGTCATGGCCGATTTGCCAGTGCTGTCACAAATGTTGAGTCAACTTTTTGAATCCAGCCAGTATTTGGACGATGTTGCACTACATCATCTCATCGATGCTTTATGTAAATTGTCGCATGAAGCTATGGAACTCGCCTATGCGAATAGGGTAAGTAGTATTTACCCCTCTATTCTAACAGAGTCACAAAACTTAGCTCATCACTGTTATGATTTCTAGTGCGCCGCAAAATGAGCCACAAAAATTCGATTTTAAATGCTAGAAAAATACAAAAAAAAACTTAAAATTTCGTGCTTTAGCAGCATATTGATTGCAGCGGCAAAGTTTGAGGCTCAGTAGAAATCACAGCAGTGATAAGCTAAGGCGTGTGACTTTGTTATAATACGGCTGATAGTGTAAAATAAAAAAATGACAAAAAAAATCCATAATTTTATTAAAATCTTCACCGTTGCTAGGAACCCTCCTTATTCGCTGTCGCTAAACTACTTGAGACCGGTCTTGTGAATATGCCACGCATTGAAGTACTATGGCGTCCACTTACCAATCACTTGCTTGAGGTTTGCCAGCATCGTCACATACGCATGCGTGAATGGGGCGTAGAAGCAATTACTTATTTGGTAAAATCAGCACTGCAGTTCAAACACACAGTGCCGCTAAAGGAAAATATGGAATTACAAACAATGTTGCTTAGTCCGCTCTCCGAATTGTCGACTGTAATGCACGCAGATGTGCGTCAAAGGCAACTCGATTGCGTTCTGCAGATACTCAATGGCGCAGGTGAAATATTATCATTCGGTTGGCCGGCTATAATCGAGATCATTGGCGCAGTAAATGAGCATCATGGGTAAAATGGCGTGCTTTGTTTGGTATTATTTTCAAAGAAATATTTATACATTTGCATTTCATAATTTTAGTGAGCCGCTAATACGTACCGCATTCCAGTGTCTTCAGTTGGTAATCACGGATTTTTTGACTGTAATGCCTTGGCGTTGCCTACCGCTTTGCATAGGCACTGCCGCAAAATTCGGTTCGCAAACGCAAGAGTTGAATATTTCCCTAACAGCAATTGGTTTAATGGTGTGTTGAACACTGTATTACAAAGAATATGAGCTAAAACTATAATTTTACTTTACAGTGGAACATTTCTGACTTCTTTAATCAAAACCAAGAGAAATTAATGTCGACGCAGGTTGATGATGGCGCTATATTACCTGATTTTCCAGGAACTGTAAAAATGCCTCAATTCGACAAACTTTGGATGTGCTTGTATGCTAAATTAGGTGATCTGTGTGTGGATTTACGTCCAGCGGTACGCAAATCTGCTGGTCAAACGCTCTTCTCCACAATCTCAGCGCATGGCAGTTTGTTGAATCCGCCCACATGGCAGGCGCTCGTTTGGCAAGTTCTATTTCCACTACTGGATAATGTGCGTGCGCTTTCCAGTTCGGCAAGCAATGAAAAGGTGGATGCCAGCGGCAATATATTGATACATCATTCACGAAATACAGCACAAAAGCAATGGGCGGAGACACAAGTTCTTACACTTTCGGGGGTGTGCAGGGTAATGCATAGCAGAAGTGTTGGAAGATTTGACATGAATATATGTTTACACATTTATTTTTGTAAAGTAGGTTTTCAATACTAAGCGGGATTTGTTGCAAATGCTGGGGGATTTTGAACGTGCTTGGTCCCTTGTTTTGGAATTCATACAAAATGCTGCCTTGAGTAAAAATGGTGAAGTCTCGCTGGCCGCACTAAAATCGCTTCAAGAAATTATGTATCACAATGCAGACAAATTGTCGCCGTCGCCACTTACTGACGAGGAGACAGCTCGCGATAATGATGAGGAAATTTGGACGGTTAGTTGAGTTTAGCGGAAAGTTTGGCAGCTTTTCAAAACTCTTATTACTTCTTTGTATGTAGATTGCATGGAATATTTGGCTGAATATCGGCATTGAAAGCACAAAGATCACAACGAAAAACAACGATGCCCAAGAGGAGTTTTATGTGCCTAGTCAGGCATTTTTAACAGCGCTAATACAAATTTTCCCAGCCATTTTCCAGCACATACAACAAAGGTGAGAAGTTGCGCTTTAAAATTTAAGCCATAAAATTTCAGTGAGTTTAATTTCTAAAAAAAAAAATCATGCAGATTTACCTTACCTGACTTTGAAAAGTTTTGCATTGTGCTAACGAATGCGGTCTGCATACCCGTGCAAACTGATGCCGTTCCCTATATAATGTCCTCTGTGTCGGATTCATTGCTAACGCCATTACACGATGGCATACTCGATTGTATGGATCTCATACAAAAGGTACTTGATTGTATTTAGTTACAGTCCAACTATAAGAAAATTATTTTATGACATTCTTATGTAGGAAGCCACCAAAGACGACTCTAATTTGAAACATATGATTCCTGTTATATTCCGGCAATTACTGGTTTTTAGTAAGTTTGCTTGCGCCCCACCTGCATATGCCGGCGTCGAGCACAAGTATGTCAAAACTGCGAACCATTACACAAACAATGCTTCCGTGGAAATGGTCAGCATGAATTTTATACCTTTTGGCGAGAAATCGATTTCCATATGCGTGAAATTATATCAGTGTACCGCCATGGAGGATTGTGTTATGCAGGAAAATATTTTACATGAAATCATCAAGGTGCGTTTCGTTATGGCGCAGAAAAGAAAACGCTTATACACATACTAATACTGTTTTTTCATTCATTTCAAAAGGCACTCCGCACTCCCCTTGCCATGAAGTACAAGTGTCTTTCGTCCAGCACATGGAAATTAGCTATATCTAGCTTGATTACAGTCCTACTCACGGGTTTGAAGGTGGCACGTGCTAAACCTAATTATTTTACAGGCATGTGGGATGATTTGGCTGACACACTCGATAAATTTTTATTTCCCGCGAGGTGAGTCATTCATCAAACGTAGACACATCTTTCCGCTCTATCAATTCAAAACAATTACTTTTCATTCGTAGCATTTGTACTATAGAAGATCGTGGCCTTGAAGAAATAGTGCTGGACGAAACAATTGATTGTCAGGTCATTGAACTGTTGCGTGACGAAGTTTTACCGCACGCACACGAAATGCCACATCAGTTCATTATGCAAATTGTTGTGCTACTCAATAAGGGCTCCATACATTCCGCATCTGACTCGAATATTTGTTATGAATCTGATTGGAAATTACGTGAAATTTTTGCAAAGACATGCTTTGAAACGCTGCTACAGTTTTCGCTGCTGGACGATACATGCAATAATAATCGTTTATCGGCAACAGCTGCGGGGGTGAATGCATCATTGAATTCGAATGTTTTCACAAATATGACAGGTGGTGGTGGGAAGGATTTCGCTGGACGCTTGGCGGTTACTGCTTTGCTACATCGATTCCAAGAAGTTTTGAAGCGTTTCAATGACGACGAACGGCAGAGTGGAAAGTGTCCATTGCCTCGGTAAGTAAATTGTAAAGTTTTGTATTACTTTTATGTCTATGAAGGAGTACACACATTTTTGAAGAGAAACTTCTTTAGCAGGGCATTTAATTAAAATATCGCTACGGATATTGTGTGACACTTGCGATGTAACGGAAGTGTATCCATTTTCCATTTTTTTGTTGTTGTTGTTATAACAGCATACAAATTCCCCAAACTTGCAATTTTTCTATCGCCGCTTTCAATAATGTTGACAGTGAATTATAGAAAATTTGATACGCAGAAGTTTAAGGTTAAGACCAATGGTGATTTCGTTTCTCCCAAAAAACGTCTGGCCCTTTACATAACCAGCACGACATAAATCCACATTTCCAACTTCGTACAAAAATTCAAAAAACTTTAGCAATTGCGCCCAAAAATTTCAACCTTTTTTTAGGTACGCAGTTTTATAGCCCATTAAAGTTTAGTGGGTTAAAGGGGAAATTTCAAGACAATATGAAATCGCGCTATTTTTTTAATTTTTTTTTTTGCGACAGTGTTGTTCATTTTCTGCCATATAAAGTATGCTCGACAATTTATTTTATAAGGAAGCAAATGCCTAGCATCGTCAGCAAAAAAAAAATATTAAAAATCAACGCAATTTTATATCGTCTAGAAATTTCCACTTTAACCTACTAAAATTTAATGGGCTATAAAACTGCGTATCTACAAAAAGTAAGACATTTTGGGTGTAATTGTTAAAGTTTTTTGAATTTTCGAACGAAGTTTGAAATGCGGATTTATGTGGTGCAGGTTATGTAAAGGGTCAGACTTTTATAAAAACATAAAATAAACAAAAGAAAAAATAGCAAAAACTTGTCCAAATTTCGCTTAACTTAATCAACTGAAAACAAGGGCATATAAAAAGGTGGCAGCCCTATTCACAAAAATAAACCCTACTCTCCGATCTGTTGGCTAAGCCTCTTCGTTTGACACCTCATATTTGAAAATCGGGCGAAAGGTGTAAATATCATAATTTTATAAGCAGGTGGCAACCCTACTAAAAAGTATAACCTTACTGCACATCTAGAGGCCAAGACCTTTCATTTTTGAAAATCGAATGAACGGTACAAATCTTATCCAATTAACAAAATTGACTTCGCATAGAATAGTATCTCTAGCCATATCAACTTTCCGCGAATGTTTGACGCAGCATTTATATTCACTTATGAACGAGATTGATAGCAGTACAATTGAATAGTTTTCGATAAGAAAAATATTTTTAAAATACAAACTAATTATATGAATAAGTTATTTTTCTCATAATTATTTGTGATATCACTTGGTGACGCATTCAAAAACAAGAGTATCTCCTCCAAACACCCATCATTGATCCAAAAACAATGTAATAGATATAGCACAGACGTAGCTTTAAAATTATAAAATTTTCATTTCAACAATCAACGTACCAAAACCGAAAACTTCAGCAAAACAACATTTCAGCATGCTGCATTTAAATCTATTTTGGTATATTTAAAGGTAAATTATGGTACAAACGAAAAATGTCATACGGCAACCATAGTCAGCACACACTAAAGTAAACAAACTGGAGATTAATAGTAAATTAGCGAAAAATAAGCACAAAAAACGTTGTGCATATTAAATTTACTCACTTTTTCGTTGTATACTAGCATTAATAATAAAATTTGCAATAAATAACTCCAAAAGGCCATATTTTCTTTTGTTTATTTACAAACATGTGTTTGTGATCAGCTGATTTTCTAACTTGCAAGTTTTAGCTGGGAAAAATTTTTCCAGCAGAAATTTGCAGCTCTCTTTCACATTTTGCTCTCTCAATTTCCCCTACTTTGCAAGTTTTTTGGGTACGAGAACGCAAAACCAGTAAAAGTTTTCTAAAACTTTAGATAGTTGGGCGTACGAGTACACTCCTAATGGCTTTGTTTCTTTTCTTTTCTAACAGATAATTATCAGGAAGAAGAATAATGGGAAAATTGAGAGAATTACGCTCAAAGAGAGCGAAATAAAGAAATAGTAAAGAAACGCAAAACTAGCAGAAACTAGCAAGTAAACAGCTGATCGATGTATTAGACTATTGAAAATATTTGGCGCGAATTTTTGTTCATCCATTTTGACAGCTGCTAGGTTCTGCTAGTAAAAATTTTACTAGCAGAAATTAGGAGGAAAGCGAAAAAAATAAGAGCGTAAGAACGAGGGAGAGCTGCTAGTTTCTGCTAGTTTTTTGGGTTAAGAAACGCTTTCCAGCAGAAATTAGTGATAATTTGCGATAATTATCTGTTAAGAAACAAAGCTAATATTTCTAAAATTACTACACATTACATTACATATTTTACAGCACGATCTGGACATCAAAATATCAAAACTACTAAAAAATTCGCAGTTGTCGCCATACGCAACACAAATTATTGTTCAATAACACAACCATGAGCAAAATATCAAAATGATTTTGATTTTAGTACAATAACTGTGCAATTTAGTAGTAAACAACCCCACACACCACACAATCGACCGACGCAATGTTTTTGTATGGTTTAGGGGTCCTATAACAGCGGCCCGCTTCTGCTTAATTTTTAAATTTCGAAACTTCCTAACCACCTCAGGTTGACGATTGTTCAACATTAGCGTCCTGCAATGGAATTGATGATCTTTGCTCAAAAGTAAACGGCTTTATCTTCGAATTTTCTCTCTTTTTCCTTTCCAAATCTTCGGCAAGCATTTTTACTATCTTGACGAAAGAGGTCAGACTACAGCTGGGAATTTACATCGATTTCTACAGTGAACGAATTTCGAGAGTGAACAACCCAAAAATTCTTTGGCTCACCTTTCATAGTGTGCTCTTTTTCTCAGCGCACCCAACCGCGATTTCAAAAAAAGTAAACAGCCGCAACAAAGCCCAAATATGATCATCCTAACTTTCACTTACTGAAATTTAACGAAATACACCGGAAGACCATTGCCACCCTCACTAGCTCGCGTGCCGTCAATGTCATCATCGGAGTTCAATCCCCATCATTTGAAGAAGAAGGACTTTCAGTTGCCAAGAGAGACCCTGACTCTGGCACAATTACGTCCTGGACCAGACCAGACCCCGACGTGACCAACGTATGTTCGGTATGTGAAAGTTCTACCCATGATATCAACGAACTCAATAAACACCCCTCTGCCTTTTGTCCGAACCCGCTGATAGAGTACGTTTCCCTGACTTACTTTAAGTACTACAACAGCCGCAATGGCAGAGTGAGGAAAGCAGTGGCGTGTTGTACGAGAGATCCAAAGTTCGAATCCTCGATCAGCGGAATGTTTTTAAATTTTAGCCGATTTCGAAAAAATGAGGAGGTTATCAATTCGTCGGAATATTTTTTTATGTATGTTACCGATTAACTTTGGACCACGTTAACCGATTTCCATATTTCATTTTTTTTAAGGAAAGGTGGTACTTCAGAGGTGGTCCCATACTATTTTGATGTATGTAGATCCAATCATTGGATTATGAAGAAATTAACGGTTCGCTTAAATTTTTATATGAGAATTGAAGTTGGTTTTTGTTTTTTGCTTAAAAACTAGTTGTTTTAATATAATTTTGTTTTTTTAGCTAAATTTTTAGTTTTCATTGTTTAAAAAGAAATATTTTAAAAAACATTTAATTTTTAAAAACTTTTATGTAATTTTTCTTTTTTTAATGAAATTTTCTTTTAATTTTTAAACCTAATTGTTTTAAAAAGAAAACTATGTTTTTTACTTGACTTAAAATTTAGAAACAAATGATTTTTATTTATTTATTTTTCTATAGAATAAATTTTAAAATTTTAAAGTTTCAAAAATAATTTGTTTTTAATTTTACTTCATTTTTAGGAACATATTTTTCTTTCTTTTTTGATTTAATTTTTAGATTTAATTGTTTAAAAAAGAAATTTTTTTTCAATTAATTTTAGAAATTTGTTGTATTTATTTTTCCTCTTTTGATTAAATTGTATTCTTATTTATAGTCTTTTTTGTTTTAAAAAGAAAAATTTGATTTTTAGGGATTTGATTTCTAAAAGACAAGCAGAATAACGTTAAGACCTCCTCGTTAACTGATAATGCAATTAGTCTTTCGAAAGACAGAAAAGAGCTTTCAATATAATTCCAAAGACAGTTGTCAGAATTACCCTGCTAGTAAAAACCCAAAAAGTTAAAGAAAGGTGGCGTCTTAAGCCGAGCGCTTTATAAATAAATTTTCAAAATATAATTCAACACCGAAATTTTGAAACTCTGTTGCATCTGTGTGTAATGTGTTTGTTGTTTAATCTTTCAGATTCCGCCTTTCAGAAATTTCCTTCGTACTTAAGGCCATCGCCACTCTGGTTGTATCCATGAAAAAGGCGCCACCAACAAAAGGTATGCCATTTCAATTACGAACGATTTTTTTTTTTTTTAATTTTAAGTATTCCAACAAACGCATTTGCTTTCCTTATTCTTAACTAGTAAATAAGCCAGCTTGGGATCAGCTAATTGGTTTATATCCCTATCTGGTTGATTGCACTACGACCACATCGCCCGAGGTGTCGCGTTCATTGCGTGAAGCGCTGCTACAATACACAGATCTACTACAACCACCAAAGTGTCTAAATACCGAAGCTGCAAATACTGCGAAGCTACAAAATACAACAACGCAATCAAATGGACAAGAGTAAAAATAAAGTTCAATTGAAGGCAGAGGCAGAGGAAGAGGAAGAGACAAATTTTGCAGCCGGCGATGAAATTCGTCAGAACCAATGACCTTTATGGGACTTTTACAATGACACGCAATGCAAGCGAAGCGAATAAACATAAAAGTTTGATATTTATTTTGAGCATAGTAATAGTTACGCTAACTATACAATACAAATATACATACATACATACATAAAAATAGACATACAGACATACATACGTATTATATAAACTATAATAAATTATCTATTCGATTACATTCTAATTTGTTATCAAATGCACACGCACGCTTTTCAAATTCAAGTATGTATATTTTTGCTACATATATACAAGTATGTATGTGGTGTATTTAAGTACGTACGTATCGACCAATGTAACGCCTAATGCGAAAAAAGCAAAAGTGTACCTTTAAAATAAAAGCACAGCTAGACGAGAAAAAGAAACAGGCAATTTCAAATTGCTAGCGGTGCATATAACTTTTATACACACTCGTTTTCTACATACATATGTATTTATTATTTGATTTTTTGGCAAGTCTAATTTTTTTCGTTGATATTTTATTTATTTATTTTTATTTATTTTTTATTTTTTTGTAATATAAATTTTTATTGAATACAATACTTTTTTGTTTACACACTTTGTATATGGGGCATTTCATGTTACCGCGGCCACCTCTGTGCGCGACCTCTAAGGATTTGGATGAAAGTTGAAGAGATTGTAAATAAACCTAATGAGTAATGATTTGAGGCCTTTTGTAAAGTTAATATGATTTATTCATATTGTTTTTGTTTTTAACACACCTTTCCTCTTTCAAAAATATACAATTTCATAAAATTTCAATGTCTATTTATCATATTGCTCGAGCGTTAGACGATCTAGAGTCCATACGCCTAAGTAGCCCATTACGCCTATTTGGGTACTTAAAGTTGACATTATAGACAATGTTTTTATGTAAAAATTTTTTTTAATGCCATAATCAAAAAAAAAATATCAAAAAGAAAAATGTTTACTTAATTTTTGTTTGTTTTTTATACGTTGCACATTAATGTAAAAAATGTATAATTAAAGCCCATAACAAGACGGAAGAAATAAATTTTTTTTTTTCATTAAGTTTCGTTGAAAGGTTTCCAAGATACAGCGGTTTAAAGAAAGGTATGTATGACGTTTTCTTAAAATTTATGTACCGTGTAATTAGGCAACCCTACGTCATATCGGCAAAATATGCTGCACGTATATTCACATCACCTAGACCTTCGATCTCTTCAACTTTCATCCAAATCCTTAGAGGTCGCGCACAGAGGTGGCCACGGTGACATGAAATGCCTCATATTTTAACTTGTCTTAAAACGTATTATATAGCATTGAATTGAAAAAAGCATTAAAATTTAAAATACAAAATGCAAGTTATTACCTATGAAATATTAATTATACAACTAACTAAATTTAGAGATCTTTGTAGTGAACGTTTTTAATAAGATTAAATCGATACAAAAAAAAACAAATATTGATACTAGTAATAATACATACATACATATATACATATACACGATATCTTGTCCTATTGTACTTTCAGCCATTGATAAAGTAATAAAACAAAGTTTTAGGCATAGAAAAACAAAAGCAAAGAAAATACGAATTTATTGAAGCCGACCTTTCTTATGCAACACACCGATTTTTCGTCATTGGTTAGTATGCACTATCTTTGGGTGTACTTTCTGTTGGCAACTGATTTTTTAACGCAATCCAGTACACTGAGCAACCTACGCAAGCACGCAGCAATGACGACATCAGACAGTCGGGTCTACGTAACCGGAACGACCCAGATTTATAATTGGCCAAGAACTGTCACTCCAGCAACACTCACCAAAAACTCTTTGGGGAGCTTGTATGCTGCTACAACAACAACAACAGCAACAACATCAGAACAGTGTTGTAGATAAAGTAAAGACGTCATTATGAGATGGAAAGTTTAATATTACGCAAATTTTGGCCGGTTGTATTAAATTTGAATTGTTGATACTCAAGTACCTGATAGCCATTGAATTAAGTATGTGCTAAATGTCAGTAAGTCTGTATCCAAGAATATCTTGGGTGAATAATACGCTTGTATGTATGAATGTACATTAGGGTGGGTCAAAAAAAGCAAGTTTTTTTTCGGATCCGACACACGAAAACTAGTTCCTAGGTGCCTCTAGAGAGTACTTACCAAATCTGAGCTTTTAATATTAACGGGAAGATTATGCTCATCATAGTTTTCCATTTTCAATTTAGTCTCATATAAAAATGGTCATATTTTATCACCATCGTCAATATTTATAGGAAATTGGACGCTCTACAAAAATGATTTCATATATTCTTTTCATTAATCTAACCATTTAAAAGATATTCAAGGTCAAAAATTGAAGTATTTTAAGGAAAATAACTTTTTGTTTTGAATTTTGTAACTTACTAAAAAATAATTATTGTCAAATGAGTTTCAATTATTTCTATAGGAAATTAAACGCTCTACAAAAAAAGGTGCTAATCGGAGTTAATCGATTACTCTAACCATTTAGAAGATATTCGCAGTAGAATCCCAATGCCTGATTTTAATAGTTTTTCAATAAATATTTTCAATTTATCCATTCAATTTATTAATTTTGACAATATTCATGAGAATTTGAGTTTATCAATTAAATTTTCAATCAAGTCAATTTTTATAACTTAAACTAAAAGAAAAAATATATTTTTGTATCAATACTGTATTGAATTATAAAATTTCATATGGCGAAATAGAATTTTTTTTCTGCTGATATGTTTGATGATATTTCTTAAATAAAAAACTTCTTTTTCTGAAATAGATCATAAATTATCTCAAAATTCATAAATTAAATGGATAAATTGGAAATATTTATCAAAAAACTATTAAAATCAGTAGGCATTGGAGTTCTACTGCGAATATCTTTTAAATGGTTAGAGTAATCGATTAACAACACGAGACCTTTTTTATAGAGCGTTTAATTCCCTATAGAAATAATTGAAACTCATTTGACGATAATTATTTTTTAGTAAGTTACAAAATTCAAAACAAAAAGTTATTTTCCTTAAAATACTTCAATCATTGACCTTGAATATCTTTTAAATGGTTAGATTAATGAAAAGAGTATATGGGACCATTTTTGTAGAGCGTTCAATTTTCTATAAATATTGACGATGCAACTGGTTTAACGATCTATTGGTGATAAGATATGACCATTTTTATATGAGACCAAATTTAAAATGGAAAATGGAATATGCTCATCTATTCTTCCCGTTAATATTAAGAGCTCAGATTTGGTAAGTACTTTCTAGAGGTACCTAGGAACTAGTTTTCGTGTGTCGGATCCGAAAAAAAACTACTTGATTTTTTTTTTGACCCACCCTAATGTACATACATTTGTACCTCTTATGTATGTACATATCAAGTTAGTATGATTATACGCAGTTTGTTTTTCGACCTATAAACACGTTTTCTTTGCTAATCAAGTTATTTGTACTGCAACAATACATGTGCAAATATTTGATAGCAGTTTCGTTGAAGATACATTCAGCAACAAACCACATAAGACGTGTGTACATACTTTTATGTAAAAACTACACTGGATGAATGGTTTTTTGTTTTTAATATTTGCTATATTTTTCCAGAGATTGCTTTAGGAACCTCTGGACTTCGTCCGTCAGTTCTTATACACGCCTAATGACGTGTCGAGGCGAGGGTTCTTCCGCAATCAAATTTCTGTTCGGGTGCCCACTTCGGTGACACCCTACTAAGAATTGTGTAGGAGCATTATATTATGCTCCTTAATTGGGAGCATATGTATCCCGTCATGCAGGTGGTGTTGCGGCGACATCAGAAGGCATCCGGTCGCTGTCCATAGTGCCGTGTTCTGGCAAGTATGTAGCTTCATCTACGGCGTCCTACTAGCCCCTGGGTGGCCACACAGCCGCTGCATAGGTTAGAATAGGCCGGCCAATTGCCTTGTACGTAGCCAACAACGTGTCTTTGTCTTCGCCCCAGGTGCTGCCGGCTAGCGGCTAGAGGACCTTGTTGCGGTTGTGTGTGCCGAAAGGGAGAGCAGACCGTCGAAGGTAACTTCGAGGATTTTCGGGTCATTCACCGTCGGAATTGGTTCGCCATCGACGTGAATACCCAGCTGCAGTCTCACCTCCTTGATCCAGGTGGTAAAAAGGGTTGCCGAGGATTTTGTAGGGAAGAGGGTTGGCTGGTAATAAAATTTTCCGGTTACAAAATCTTCGGTAACGTGCAGAATAGACCTGTTAGGCGGTTATTGCTTATGACCACTGATACATACGTATATTATATAATATAAGTCACAGAATTGAAGGCAGAATTCATGGTAAATCGGCCGTTTTGTAGAAGTGTAGCCTATAGTGCTGCCGCTGTTACTAATAAGCCTGTTTTAATTGTGTACATGAAATACATACATATGTAAGTACGTAATCAATATTTTTTCAAATAAATTTATGCAAATAAATTTTTGGTTTCATCATGTTTTTGTGTTGTAAATACAAACTATACGCTTTCATTTTCAATACAAATTAGGTTTATATAATCTTCATATAAATATTAGAAAGTAACTAAATTTGTGACTGGTAGGACAGGTTGTTGTTGTTGTTGTAGCGGCTACAACAATCCCGCCCAGATCGGTTGGTATCTCAGTCGTTGTCGTCAAGTTCCACTAACGGCAACCCTAGGAAGCGTGCAGCTTCTGTGGGATCTGTCCACAGGGACAAGGCCGTTAGGGTTGTCGGGTTTTCCGGGCATGCGAAGAGATGGTTCGAGTCATGTGGGGTCTCTCCGCATGCCGGACATTCGTTCGGCACATCCTCATTCAACCTACTCAAGTAGTAGTTTAACCTGCTGCAGTAGCCGGAGCGAAGTTGAGCGAGTGTAGTGCGTGTCTCCCGAGGCAGATGAAGCTCTGTCTCGTCTATGTCCGGGGGTGGTATGCCTAGAACGGCATTCACAGGTCTAGAGTCTACATAACTCGAGACTGAGTCCCTGTGAATGCCGTTCAGGGCCTGTCTGTACGCTGTCGGGTCCAGAGGTTGCTTAATGAACCTCTGGACTTCGTCCGTCAGTTCATATAGATGCCTCCTGATGTCGCCTGAACACCACTTGCACGGCGAGGCGCAAATGCTCCCAGTTAAGGAGCATAATATAATGCTCTGCAAGCAGTTCCTGATCGGGAGCCACAGAAGTGGCCACCCAAGCAGACAGCTGCTTGCAGAGCATTATATTATGCTCCTTAACTGGGAGCATTTGCGCCTCGCCGTGCAAGTGGTGTTCAGGCGACATCAGGAGGCATCCCGTCGCTGTCCTAAGTGCCGTATTTTGTACCGTCTGTAGCTTCGTCCACTGCGTCCTACTAGTCCCTGGCGACCACACTGGCGCTGCGTAGTTCAAAACCGGCCGGCCTATTGCCTTGTATGTTGCCAGCAACGTTTCTTTGTCTTTGCCCCAGGTACTGCCGGCTAGCGACTTGAGGACCTTGTTGCGGCTCTGTACTTTATTGACAATAGCGGTTGAGTGCGCAGAGAAGGAGAGCAGGCTGTCGAATGTTACTCCGAGTATTTTGGGGTTATTCACCGTCGGAATTGGTGTGTCATCGACGTGAATCCCCAGCGGTAGCCTGACCTCCTTCGTCCAGGTTGTGAACAGGGTCGCGGAGGATTTCGTAGGGGAGAGGGCTAGACACTTTGCAGTGAAGAAGCGAGAAAGTTCGGAGAGATAGCCGTTTACTTTCAAACACAGGTCATCAATTCCATTCCCAGTCGCCATGATCGAGCAGTCGTCGGCATAGGAGACAATCGAGACTCCCTCTGGTGGTTGAGGGAGCTTTGAAATATAAAAGTTAAACAGTAGCGGGGAAAGGACACCACCCTGAGGAACCCCCTGTTTTATTTTTCGCTGCTTGCTCGTTTTGTCTCTAAATATTACCGACGAATGTCGACCACTCAGATAATTTGCCGACCACCGTTTGAGCCTCTGTGGGAGAGAGGAGGCCTCTATATCTTCTACCAGCGTGGAATGGCAGACGGTGTCAAACGCCTTTGACAAGTCCAACGCTACTAGAATCGTTCTCTCACAGGGACGGTTGCGGTTAAGGCCACGAGTTATCTGAGTGTTTATGGCGTTAAGTGCTGTTGTTGTACTGTGCACTTTACGGAAACCATGCTGATGCTTCGCTGGGGTCAGGTGGTTTGTGAAGTACGGGAGTAGCAAGGCCTCGAGTGTCTTCGCTACCGGGGAAAGGAGTGTAATCGGACGATACGAATCTCCTTTGTTGGCGGGTTTCCCCGGTTTGAGCAGTGGGACCACTCTCCCCACCTTCCAGATGTCTGGGATGATGAGAGTGGCCATTGACAGATTGAGGACCTCCGTTAGGTACGCTACCCCCGCAGGACCCAAATTTTTCAGCATCAGCATGCATATTCCGTCGGGACCCATGGCTTTGGAGGCTTTCGCCTTCCCGATGGCCACCTGAACTTCACCGCAAGTGAAAGCAAGGGGGGCACAAGTTGTTGGCAGTTTGTGCAGCCTTCTGGTCACTCGACGCTTGGCTTTGTCCACCGGAGGATGCAGTATGAACTGCCGGCTGAAATAGCTCGCGCATCGCTCCGGGTCCGACGAAGCATGGTCGCCGAAGGAAATTTCGACTCTGTCGTCGTGCTTCGTCGGATTAGACAATGACCTCACGGTTGACCAAAGCTTGCTCACACCAGAGGTGAAATTACAAGTCTTCAGGTGCTCCTCCCACTTCTTCCGCTTATGTACGTTTACAAGTTGCCGAATCTCCGCGTTGAGATCCCTGATACGGGGATCTCCGGGATCGGCCTGACGAAGGCTATCACGCTCATCAGCTAGAACAGCCGCTTCGGCAGGGAAGTTTGGACGTGGGTCCGATATACGTCCTGCCGGTATGAAGCGAGCTGCAGCAGCAGTGATAGCCCTGCGGAACTTACGTTCACCGAGATGGACGTCGGTTGGTGTGGGGAGCGCTGCGAAGGTGTTTTCGGTAAACTCCGCGTAACCTTTCCAATCAGCTTTGGAAAAGTTGATATAGGTCCGGTGTTTGGCGGAGGCAAAGTCGGTTGGTTTATCAATCGAGATGACTATGGGTAGATGGTCTGATGCTAGAGTCAGCATAGGTCGCCACGTTATGCTGTTTATCAGACCAGCGCTGACTATTGTGATGTCTGGCGAGCTACTGCAGTTACCCATAATCCTGGTGGGTGCGTCGTCGTTCATCGTGCAGAATGTCGAATCGTCTATCTGCTCAGCCAAGTCTGTTCCCCTACGATCGTTTGACAGGCTTGAGTGCCAAAGATCGTGGTGCGCATTAAAGTCACCTACTACCATACGGGTTTCACCTCTGAGGAGCGCACCTATATCAGGGTGATATCCTGCCGGGCAGCAGGTGACAGGGGGTATGTATATGTTAAATATTTCGAGCTCGACATCGCCTGACCGGATAGCGATGCCCTGACATTCTAGGGTGGTATCCCTGCGGTCGATGTCTGCTTCAATAAGACGATACTGCACGGTGTGGTGCGTGATGAACGCTAAGCCACCACCACCAACAAAGTTGAATTGCTGTGCAACTTCGTCTCTTGGACCGCAGCTATTAATATACCATGCCGACACATGAAGACGGTTATCTCCTCAATCTTGCTCTGTAGCCCGTTACAGTTGAATTGGAGGAGCTTCATGTGGTTCGGGAGACGTGTCGTGATGTGGGGTGTGAGTGAGGTGTATGTTCTTGCCGCCGTTGGCTGTGTGTGCTGCTGAGGTGATTGCCGCCCTATGGTGGTGGTGGGCGGCGTCGCAATTGAAGTCTGCGACCGAGCAGCGCAACACGGGCCCTCGAAGTTCCCCGTCCAATCTCGCGTGGTACGCAGACCTGAACATGCCCTAAAGTGGCACCAGCCAAGGCAGGTGTTGCACTTGACTGATGTCACATTACGGAATATTCTGGTCGGACATACCGTGCAGATTGTAGGGGGAACCAGGAGTTGTTGGCGGCGGCGTGTGGGTGGTGGTGCGGTTGTGTGTGTTATGTGGTCTGTGGTGGCTGTGGTACGGTCTGTGGTGTTATTATGTTGTTGTGTTGTGGCGACTGCGTGTGGTTGCTGTGTGAGTGTGTGGGGCTGCACGGGCGGACTATGGTTTGCCGTGGAGGCTGCTCTGTTTGAGCAACAGGGGGCCACGTACGACGTGGTCCACTGTCTGTGTGTCCGTAGTCCCGAGCAGACCCTGAGGTGACTCCACCCCTCGCAGGCATTACACTTGACTGAGGTGGAGTTGTGGTGTAATCGTCTTCGGCATACACAGCAGGTGTATATTTCTGGCCCAGGGTTTGACTCGATGCCAGCCCTGAGTAGGAGAATGCGTAGTGAATGTTGCCCTATGGACGGACAACTTCTGAGATACTTCGCCGACCTAAACGGGGTTAGATCGCCGAAACAACAGCCCTTGGTCGGGTGAAACCCGAGTCATTCCGGTACGTAGAACCGGCTGTCGTGGGAATGGTGGTAGGACAGGTCTTTGTGACTAGTGGTAAGTAATTATGTATGAAGTAAAAGTTTCCATAGACAAAAATTACAGCTTTTTATTTTTTTAATATCTTTCAACGGATTAATTAAATGTAGTTAAGTATGTATTTAAAAAGAGGTTACTACTGAAAGAGGGATTATTAGGACATTTTTAAATTTATATAATTTTATTTAATAAAATTATTTTACATGGATTGACCCTAAACAAGAAAGCGTGTTTATATAAACGTGGTACATAATAAAAACTCACCCTGAACTCAATAAAAACGCACTTTTATTAATCTAAATAAAATTTTTTATTTATTAATTTTTTATCATTAATAATAAGTATAATAACATTTTTGTTTTTATTTTTAATTTTATTTTTCAGTATTTTTATATGTATATATATGCGATTTTTGTTTTCTATTTTTCTTTTGTTTTGTTTATATTTATATTAATTAGAATTAGGCAATCAAGTTTTCAGTAATGTTTTTTGTTTTTTTTTTT